GAAAGCTGGGGTTCTCTAGAAATCTTGCTTTTCACGACAGAAATGACTTGGCTATACATTGTAAGGGAGTCATACTTCCAAGAGAGACGTATATAAAAAAGAAAGCCCAGCACTGTGAAAGGATGATGAATGGAACTCAGTTCACTAAAATGTGGGAAGACGTAGCTTCCCCAGAACAAGCTTCGCAATTTTAAGAACACCAGCATCCCTCTCTCTAATACACCCTCCACCTACCAAGGAAGTTTATCTCGTCTGAAAGAAATCAGTCGCCCAGACTTGGAAACATAAGACTGGAGAATCAGAAACTCAATGAAGAACAGTAAGAAATTAAGATGTTTAGCTGAAGTGTAGGGTTTAAAAACTGACAGTAGTCTCCCCTACATTTTCCTATTTCTTACCCTTCATGGAGGATACTGCCAAGCAAGAAAACATTTTTCCCTTTTATGCAGCAAATCAAGTTTCTCAGAAGGGAAACCACATTTCACTATTTTCTTTTCCAACAGCAGAACACTGACTCCTAGTATTATAAAGGGTGAAGGTACAACATTTCTTTCCAAAAAGAAATGGCTTCTCTTTGTATCTCATGGTACAGGTATTTTAGGATAATTTTAGGCACGCAAATGACACACATGTACCACCTCCCCCACCCCCCCAACTTCAGGTATCATTTTCTCTCACTGTGCTCAAGCATGTTAGGAAAGGGGTATAAATGTTGAACACAAGGGGTTCTACTGCTAGGTGAAGATTAATCATTTGCTTATTTGAACAATGAAGCTCACAGATGATACTGAAGAGAAACTACATTCCAGCATTTCCCGCTGAAACCACTGAACAACAGCTGATAAAAGCATTTTATCAAAACAGCACATTCAGCGTTCTCATTAACAAGAGAATTTCTATGCAAGACCATGCCATCCAATGCAGAACTATCTCTAGAAACTCACTAAGAGGTCACGTGGGTGGTGGCAGATCTGCGGAGGCTTTGATCGAGCAGAGCACAATCCAGCAGTCACATTTGTACTGGAAGAAGCAAACAGCGTCTGTGCTAAGACATCATTTTTGCTCTGGGTAAGTCTCCTGCTTGACATCATCAGCTTCGTATCACACACTAGATAATAGTCCCTGACTCTAAGCCAGACCCTCTCTTACAACCTAGTAGTCGCTTAACTCCCCTGTACAACAACAGTCAGAGCAAGACTGACCTGTACTTACCCACAGGCTCATGGTATCAAGCATCAATGCTAAGTACAAGGTACTTAGCACAGGACCTAGCTCAGGAAGACAAAGGTAAACCCAAATAACAAACCCGAGTCTTCTTCAAACTGAGTCTGCTTCAAAGCAGGAAGAGTTACTACAAACGAACTGATTCTAGAAAACATTCTGGAAAGTCACTGTATGAAAACTGAGTAATCTGAGACTATCACAACGCATGCATAAGGAAAGGGCATGAAGATCAGCATAAGGGGAAACTAACCAATCCTTGGCTTCCAAAGCAAGTCCTTCACAATGATTTACACAAATAATTTGCTATGGAAATTTTTAGTTTAAAAAAATCTCAAGAAATGTGGTCATAGAGATACTTAGTACATAGAGAATAATGGTTCTATCTTGTTCAGTACAGTAAAATCTAGGTCAGCAATTCCTCACAACTGAATCTTCCACATAATCAGTAAATACCTTTATCCCTCATATGAAGAGAGGAATTTCCTTTGGACACAGAAAGAATTCCTGCTTTGGGACATGCCTTTCCATGTTGTAGTGAGACACCTATATAATGTTTGCTAATGAACTAAAAAGAACAAAATACTTGTGGTATTTTTTTTTGTGAAACTCAAAACTCAAAGCCAAATCAAGGATTTTCTGCAGGCTTCTGGATAAGGCCTTGTTGATAATTTAGGACAAGGATTTCTGTCATCATGCAAGTTTCTGACATGGTCTGTCACAACTTCAACTTTTAAAAGCTACAAATAAAAATAAAACCAACCTAATTGGTTTCCTAAAATAACTAGTCAATTTGTAACAACTTGCCACCAAGACAATGGGAAACCAGAAAAAATTCAGTCCTAATCTTCAACTTTACAAACTTTGGAAGGGCTGTTCTCTAGGACAGAAATACTGGTGTGATGTTACTTGCAGAAGTGCTTCCATACATTGTCAACAGCAAAATATTTGTCTCTGTGAAGAATCCACTGTAATTTCAGAAATGTGACAGCAAAAGATGTGGTCAAACACAAATACCTGCACCTAGAGCTAAGAATGGTCTTCAGCAGGGATGGAGGAGCCAGGTTCTTTTGACAACTAGTTGGTGATCTATAATGGGTGCTCCCTCCATTACAGGGACAGGAACCCTACTCATCTCGTATATTCCCATTGACTCTGTTGGCAGGTGTACAGGGGATCTCCCCTTAACAATGTTCAACAGATGAGAATCCAGTATGGCTTGGCATGATGCAAGTTTTCTCTGCAGTACTGCAGCTTCACTCCCACAATACATATTCTACATTCAGTGTAGTACTGTCCCAAGTGTTACATATTGCTCGAGTTTCAGGACACTGATAAACATGGCACACGGTCAGACAGAAAATTTGTGCAAGGGCTGCAATAGGATAAAGCAAAAGGACTGATTAATCACAGTATTGTGCCCTACTCCCTGCTTTTTATCCCCCACAAACAGAATTCTGGAATTAGCGAAATTCATACATCAGCTATTTATCAGTTCTCATGCCCTGAGGATTGGATCTCCTAAAGTTAAGAGAGATAAGGGCTTCTGAGAATCTCAAGTATTCCTGCAGACTATATTGAGCCAGATTTTCCCCAGTCATCACCTAGAATGAAAGAATTTGTCTGCAGCAACAAGCATCAGGATGACATGGAGTTCAACCACTAACAGTCTCCCTGCCAACTTTTCCCACTGCACGGGACTTGCATCACTCCGATGCCTTCACAGGAATCAAAGTGAACAACAGAACCTGAAATAAAATTCAAGCAGCTTCAAGAAGAGCCAAAATCTTATGGATGCCCAACTTTCCTTCTCAGTAGTTAACTCTTACAGATACCCGCACCTACTCCATCACATATGCATGTAACAGCACATTTTCTTCATTATTCAGTTTTTCAATTACCTCCCTTCACCTTCTAGGAAAAAAAAAACCAAACCCAAACCCAAAATAAAACCCAATCTCTTCACCTTCCAGTACTAGTAACGGGAATCTAGCACACTCCTCCCATGAGCTAGTCCTTTACTTTCAAAAGCACTCAGCATATATCGTTTCAGTCACCTTCTCAAAGGGGATGGACATGACAGGTACGGTCCTTTCTTAAGGAGGATGAATCATGGTGGGCACTTCTTAACAACATACAGCTGCAGAAGAATACCCAGAGCAAGATAAGACATTTAGGGAGCCACCCACCCCCATGGAACTTCGGTGTCTAATGTTTTTCCAGCTTCTGTGCAATGGATGTCTCTAACCCTAGTCAGTTGTTCCAGCAAAGATTCTCCCCAACTAGGGTTATACAGTGGGAATTCCAAAGCAACAGGCTATGTACAGACATGTCAGCATTCCCTCCAACAGAGAGACGAAAAGGAGAAAATTCCTGAGGATGTGTATCCTCTACTTCACTTTCTGAATCCCAGCCTCCCCCTCGCCTTGGAATGAGCTCTACAAAGCAGTATCTGTTATGTACATGAATCTCAGCTCCCTTCCTCTGGGTAGTTTCCCCTCAAAAGCGACAGGCAAATCCCAGGACAGAGACAGCTGCTGGGGAGGGGGAGGTCTCCTTAGGATGACTCGCCAGAAGCAAGAGAGCCTGCAGCCTTCTTCTTAGGGCGTGTTTTCACACTTCTCACTGGAAGCTGAGGAGAAAGAAGAGGAGGCATCTTAGGGCAGTTTAACACCTAAACATCTAACAGAAAGATATAAGAATGCAGAGTGAAAACAGGACAAAACAACTACAACACGATGATGCTATTCACGTCACCCTTTGTTTCAAAAAGGGCTATTTAACCATTCTACTTGGTTTTGGTTAGTACACAAATCACTCTGAGCGTACCCCTGTACTTGGCACTGGTGAGCCCGTATCTCGAGTGCTGTGTTCAGTTTTGGGCCCCTCACCACAAGAAGGACATTGAGGCGCTGGAGCGTGTCCAGAAAAGGGCAACGAAACTGGTGAGGGGTCTGGAGCACAAGTCTTGTGAGTAGCGGCTGAGGGAACTAGGGGTGTTCAGCCTGAAAAAAGGAGACTGAGGGGAGACCTTCTCACACTCTACAGCTCCCTGAAAGGAGGTTGCAGAGAGGTGGGAGTTGACTTATTCTGTCAAGTAACGGAATAGAACGAGAGGAAATGGCTTCAAGTTGAGCCAAGGGAAGTTTAGATTGGATATTAGGAAGAATTTCTTTACTGAAAGGGTCATGAGGCATTGGAATGCGTTACCCAGGGCAGCGGTGGAGTCCCCATCCCTGGAGGCATTCAAGGGTCCAGTAGATATAGCCCTCGGGGACATGGTTTAGTGGTGGGCTTGTCAGTGTGAGGTTAATGATTGGACTAGATGATCTTACAGCTCTTTTCCAATCTAGGAGATTCTGTGATTCTGTATCCATCAAAGAGCAACCAGGAGAGGAAGACATTCAAAAACAGGACAAATGTGATAATAAAATCGAAGTCAGCTGTCTCAACAAAAGACTGGACATAGCGATATTTCTAACTGGTAACATTCACGTAACACTCCACTGCTATAACTTTTCTGCTTCCTGACTGCAATCCCAAATGCTGTTCTCTGAAAGATGTAGAAACATCTTGAGCTAGTCTGCACACTTTACTCCAGTGTCTTTCATTCTAGATATTGGCAAGAAAAGTGCACGTATGACCTACAATGCAATCAGCCCTTCTGAGCAATCCTGGAAATCTCAGTCAAAGACCTCCTACAATTCCTACATCTGAACCAAAGATCCAAATAGACTGAGCATAGAAACAAATATGCCTGCAAAGGGCTTTATTGGAATTTCTGTATTCACAATAAACAGCATAGAAGAGTCGTTACTTTCCCCACAATTTTATTTTAAAAATTCCTCGCTAGGAAGCTTGGAATCAAGTTTTGTTTCTCTTGTTTATCCGCTCCTGTCTAATATGCTACAGAAGAAAGCAGAAGGGTCAACTCAGAAGTAAGCCTTGTGAACTTTAAAAAGATCCAGGCTGATTTTAAATGTATCTTTAGACATACACATCCATCCCTGGAGATACTCAAAAGCCATCTGGTCATGGTCCTGGGAACCCAGCTCCAGATGGCCTTGCTTGAGCAGTGGGGTTGGACCAGATGATCTCCAGAGGTCCCCTCCAACCTCAACTGTTCTGTGACTCTGTTACAAAGAGTACTTAATCACATGCAGAGGTGTCCTGTACACTGTAAAATCAGGTTAACAGTAAGACTTTAAATGATGCTCTAAGCAATTAGTTTTCTCCAAATTATTTAATATTTAGCCTGAAAAGCTTGACAATGTGAACCAGTCATATAGCACTCTGCCTTAAATAAAAATAAAAAATAAAATTAGGAGTCCGAGTTGAGTCAAGCAAATAGGACCCCAACTTCACAAAAAGGGAGAAGCTTTTTATCACATATAAATCAAAGTACAAGAAATGTTCAAGTAAGAATCAAAACCTGGAAAGCAGCACCTCAAAAGGCGCATTCTACAAACTACAACAACAGCTGATAAAAAAGATTGTTAAGCTAAACTGGCTCTTGGACACAATTACATTTATTTTTGTGTATAATTTGTTTTAATAATAATAATCCAGGCAACCCATGCCTCATCTGACTGGCTGTAAATATCTTCGATCATCACATGGTCATATGGAGGGGACAGCTCAACAACGACTAGTTACCCAAAACCCCAAGGTGGGGGGTAGCAGGGGGATGGGGAGTGGTGTGGAGGGGGAAATTACATTTTCCCCATATCTAGTATGCAGAAGTCCAGGAAGGCCTAAGAGGGTACAGAACTGCTGCATTTTAGATGAGGAGAAAGTGGCTGTCCCAGGGACAAATGTCACAGTAGTATTAAATATTCAGACTGTAACAGACAGGAGAGAGGATACAGTCACCAAAACACATTAAAATACCTAATGCTCCACTCCAACACATTACCTGAAAGCAAAGATGGGTCCTGGCTTAGGGCAGAGGCTTACAGGCATCATAAAAATACAAAAGCTAAAGACTAGCATAGCAAGTAGACAGGAAGTCCTCTGATCTAGGACTCAATCAGCAAAGACTTAATCCAATAAAGTTTATATAAACAGCTTTTAAATGCACCAAGACTATGAAGCCAGAGCCTTCCAACAAAGCTTCCAAATCCAAGTGGGTGCTGGAAATAATTTACACACCAGCTCACCTCAGCTTTCATCACCTTCTTAGGAGTTTTGAGACTCTGGGTACGTTTAGGAAGTTTGTCTCCTGCATCTTCATCTGACGGGTCTGTTCTAGTTTCCGACAGGGTGCTGTTAGACCTCTGTGCCACACTGCTCTCCTCTCCTGAGGAGTAACACGAAGCTAAGGAATAAGACAGAAAGTTTAGTAAATACTTTTGAAAATCACATTAAGTCTAAAATGGCCTGTTCCTGAAGGACCACATGAATGGGAGAGGTCAACGAGCCATAAGAAGGACAAACCAAAAAGTACAGAGATGTGTTAGTAGATGGGAAGGGACTAGGGAAGGCAATGCAACTTCTACCAGATAATTTGCAATCTTGTAGCCCTTCCAAGACCCAATGCATGAGAAGTCCAGGGATCCTCCTCCCCTCCTGGATCACCGTATGAGGCCTCATACAAGGGCCCTGCAGGGGTGTTCTGTACCTGAATCCTCAATGGTTTCAAGAAGACTCCCACCAGAGGGATGCAGCTGTGGCTCGTGGCTTCGCATATGCACAGTATCTTCATCCCGGATCAGAGTGAGATCCTGCATGCTGAAACTTCGCAGCTTCTCTGACAAAACTCCCTGGCCCTGAGAGGACATAAAACTTAGGGTCATGGGCACTTCACCTTCACCAAGATCACCTCACACAGGATCAGTCAGAAGAGGAGAAAAGGTGCCCTATTCCCCACTAGGGTACTCCAGAAAAAACAGAGAAGGGGAAAAAAAAAGTACACTCCCAAGACCAACAGGGAAGAGGTTAAAGCAAAATCCATTCCACTCTCCCTCCACTTTTCATAAATCAAAGGATGGGATTAACAGCAAGGCAAGCCAGAGGAAAGGAAAAGTAGATTGGTGCCAACAAGTACCAGCACCCCTAACAGACTCATAGCACTAATTGCTGGCACACAAAACTAAACGGCTGGGGAATTCCTGAATGTTACAGAAGGTGTTGTATTACCTTTGCAGCTGCAGTAACTGCTGCATTGGCAGCAAGGTTTAACCCTCTCTTGCCAACTCGCATCATGGTTTCATAGCTCTTGTCACGAGCCTGAGTAATGTATTCATCAATTTCCTAGGAAGGCAATGTGGAACATGGCATTTAGCTCCTCATTACAAACATGATCAAAGTCTCCCCACCAACACCCTTAAAATCCCAAAGCTCATCTGGATGCTTTTTTCCAGGCTACCAGCATCAGCTGCCACTGATCGCGTAACAGCAGTTTCTCTGCTGCTTACAGAAAGCTTGCAAACGCAACTTTTACTTAAAGTATGTTATCTCCAAATTGCAACAACTGAAACAAAGCAGTTGCTTACACTGACGACATGAAAAAAACAGTATGGCTACAGAATGTGCTGCTCCTACTGTGAGTCAAAGAGCTTAACTACTGACAGTGGCTACGCCGGCTCATGACACTGGGTTAGCCAGACACGCTTTCTAAGCATTAGGCAAATGACCGGCTACATTACAATCTTCAGTAAGCTGCAGCATGACATCGCTGGCAGAGACAGAATCATTCTGCATCCACTAATGTCAGCACAAGCATGATTCACGCATTTCAGCTTTTATTGTGGCATAACCGCATCAGAAGTCACTCAGCTCCCAGACAGGTCGGTATCTTCTAACAACAGCAGGTACCTTCTCCTTATTGGAGAGCGTTGGGTGCACAAACTTCCTGTAGAGGACACTGGAGCCCTTGGTGTAAGGGGAGAGCAGCCAAATCACAAATGCGATTTTCAGCTCGAAATAAAAGGGAAACCTGAGAGAAAGAGGGGAGGGGGGAAAAAAAAAAAAAAAAAAGAGAGAGAAAGATGGAGAACTGGAATCAAGATCTGCACAGAGACAGATGGAGATAACTGGTAGAGAGCAGCACAGGCAGAAAGAGCAAAGGCAAGACAAGGGCTCAGAAACAAAAGAATCAATATATCAGATCAGAATAGCAGAACCCTCTTTGGAACCCTAGGACATACCTTCTTTGAGTCTCACTTAGTCTTTCATCCATAGCCATGAAAACTCCATAAACAGGGCATCTCTCAGCCCTGCAAACACACCAAATTACAATCTGATAGCTACTCTCATAATTCTGAAGTTTGTTCAGAGAGTATCCACTGGATGTTAACATTACATTAGTTTCCCTCTCATTTTCCAAAGTTTTCCACTACGTATCTCAATAAATCTCAAGTTCCTGCTAAGGCTGATGGCTCAGTTTCTGAAACTTCCAGTAGGTACTCCTCAGATAAGGCACAAAAGGAGGATCAGTGTAAATGAAAAAGCATGCAGCACATAAGTCTTTCATCACTAACCTTTACCCAATAGTCTCTGAGAAAATACAGTAGCAGAGACTGAAACAAGTGAATGCAAACTTTCTACTGTCTCTATTAGTAACAAGAGATTTCTGGCTTCAGGGGTCCATTTTAAGTACACAAACAAGCCAAAGCTCTTGTACTTTTTAGATCTTTATCTGCGTTTCAAAGTTTATGCAGAACTGCCAAGCCCTTCTGTAAGGCACATGGAGCCATTTCATGTTTCTTTAAAAAAATGCAACTCTCAACTTGTATTCTTTCAGAGATGTATGCAAAGCTCAAACACCAAAGCAATGAAGAAACGGAAGACAGCCTGTTCCAAAGGTTCAGTTGAAGACATGTAATGACGATTTGTCATTTTTGGAGGCCTCCATATTGCCAAGCATGACACACAGCACTGAAAGGATTAAGAAGCTGCTTCCCTAACAGGTCCCTTCCTTCCACTATCCTTTTTTTTTTTTTTCGTCTTTTAGACCACCATTTCTCAAACTTTATCAGTTCACATTAACAGCTTCACAAAAATATTTTATGTTATGAATGGATGAAGATCCTCTTACAGACACCCAACTGTTAATACTGTTTGTAAGTATAGGAGATGAAACAGCTAAGACAGCAGCTACTACCCACAGTATCTACAAACCTGCAGACTCTTCAAAGGGACTGAAAATTCCTAAAGGACAGACAGTTTATTCCTGGCATCCTAACACTACTCCTCCCTTATTAAAAAAAACAAACAACAAAAAACCAAAAAAAACACAAAAAACCCCCAACAAACCAACAAAAGAAAACATGCTGCCAAGGAACTCACCATGAAAGAACAATGTCTGTGAGTGTTTCTGCAGTGGTGAAAAAGGCAAACACAATCCAGTACATCATCCACTTCACCTGCAAAAGAGCAGTCGCTCAACAGACGTCCACCAGAACCCAGAAAAAGTGAAATGCCTTCTCAGTAAAAATGACTCATCACCCCCACACATTAAGATGAATTCAACAATAAGAAGGCATATATAATCAATAACGGAGAGGGTCAAATACTAAATGGTACATTATAGTTTGGGAAAACATGTAGGATTAATGTGGTCTAAACAGATAAATGTGCACAGATACACTGATGAATGCATGTGCTGTAACAATATCATGATGCAGCAGTATTAGAGTCCCAAATAAGCGATCTAAAACGAGTAAGCAGTTCACTTTAAGAAGTTATAGTCTTTCATATATCATGATTATTGTAATAAATATATATATATACACATATGCAAAATTTTAGTTTCAACTGTAGCCCTATATATTCTTAATTTAAAGTTTCTTCTTGGGAAGAAAAAAAACCCAAATCAATAGATACAGTATTTTGCTCTAACTCGTTACTAAGCATTTTTTGCCTTAATCATTATTCCCAGAAATTACACGAGCATTTTTTTTCCCCTTTTCAAATAAAGGCTCAGTAAGAGAGGTGAAGCCGAGGGTATGTCACACCAACCTTATCTTCTTGTTTAAGGTCTTGAGTATAGTTTACAAAGTGTACTTTGTGCTATGATCATAGAATGGCTTGGGTTGGAAGGGACGTTAAGGATCACCTTGTTCCAACCCCCTGCCACAGCCAGGGACACCTCCCACCAGCCCAGGTTGCTCCAAGCCCCATCCAACCTGGCCTTGAACACCTCCAGGGATGGGGCAGCCACAGCTTCTTGGGGCAACCTGCCCCAGGGGATCACCACCCGCACAGGAGATAATTTCTTCCCAATATCTCATCTCTATCTCCCCTCTTTCAGTGTGAAACTGTTCCCCCTTGTCCCATCGCTCCCCTCCTTGATCCAGAGTCCGTCCCCAGCTCTCCTGGAGCCCTTTTAGGGCCTGCAAAGGGCTCGAAGGTCTCCCCAGAGCCTTCTCTTCTCCAGGCTGAACCCCCCCAACTCTCCCAGCCTGTCCTCCCAGCAGAGGGGCTCCAGCCCTCCCAGCATCTCCGGGGCCTCCTCTGGCCCCGCTCCAACAGCTCCGTGTCCTTCTGCTGTTGGGACCCCCTGAGCTGGAGGCAGCGCTGCAGGGGGGGGGTCTCTCCAGAGCGCAGCAGAGGGACACAATCCCCTCCTCAGTCTGCTGGCCACGCTGCTGGGGATGCAGCCCAGGATGCCAGTGGCTTTCTGGGCTGCCAGCGCACATTGCTGGCTCATGGTGAGCTTCTCATCCACCAGCACCCCCAGGTCTTTCTCTGCAGGGCTGCTCTCATTCTACTCATTGCCCAGCCTGCATCCATGTTTGGGATTGCCCCAACCCACATGCAGGACCTTGCACTTGGCCTTGTTGAACTTCATGAGCCCAACTTAAGAAAAGAAAGGAAGTTAATTCAGCATATGTGTCTTTGTTACTTCTCTGATTAAATAAAAACATGATTTCTACATGGTTGGTTTGTTTGTTTTCCTATGTGATCTCACAGATCATTATTTGCCACGCCAAAAAAAAAAAAAGCTTTTTCTAATGAAATCAACTGAGCACTAAAAGACTATCTTGGCATTGACAATGACACCTTTTGCTCCGGTTCATGAAAACAATACCAGAGAACCATCCTCTTAACGGTGCAGGGAAGTTTCGGTGAGTGCTGTCGAGAGAGCCTGTGACAGTGCTTCTGTGCAGTGGGATTTTCCGTAGGCTGCATTAGTGGGACTGAGCCAACACTAAGGCTCAATCCGAGAGCTCATCAGATACTAATTTACTGCTGGTCCTGCTATAAATAATGCATGCCAATGGGGAGCTGCCATGGCCCTTAGTAGAGTAATGCACTCGGGCTTTCTTCCTCCCACAGAGGCCAAACCTCACATCTGTGCTGGTACTGCAGAAGAACTCCTTCAAAACCATCTCGGTGACTTAGGATCATTATATGCCACTTCCCTCAGGACCTGTGGATGTATCTCATCAGGTCCCATGGATTTCTGCACCTTCAGGTGCCTCAGATGGTCTTGAACCTGGTCTTCTGCTACAGTGGGGGGTTCCTCATTCTCCCAGTCCCTGCCTTTGCCTTCCATGACTTGGACAGCGTGGCTAGAACACTTGCTGGTGCAGATTGAGGCGAACAAGTAAGTATCTCAGCCTTGTCCCCGTCCTGGGTGACCAGGTCTCCTGTTTCCTTCTGGAGAGGGCCCACATTTTCCCTAGACTTCTTTTTATCACTGATGTACCTGTAGAAGCTTTTCTTGTTGCCCTGGACGTCCCTGGCCAGATTTAACTCTATCTGGGCTTTAGCTTTCCTAACCTGATCCCTGGCTGCTCAGACAATTTCTCTGTACTCCTCCCAGGCTATCCGTCCTTGCTTCCACTCTCTGTAAGCTTGCTTCTTCTGCTTGACTTTCTCCATGAGCTCCTTTTGTTCATCCATGCCAGCCTCCTGTCATTTTTGCCTGACTTCCTCTTTGTTGGGATGTGTCGCTCCTGAGCTTGGAGGAAGTGGTCCTTGAATATGAACAAATTTTCTTGCTGGCACATCTGTATGCCTGTTGTCTATCTCCCTACTTCCTCACACCTTTCCCTGGAGCAGTAGGTATTTCTTTCAAAGCAAATATAAAATAATTCCCCCCCATCACACACACACTCACACTCTGCTGTGTTTTAGTAACAAGTCTCTCAGCTATAAGCCAGTTATTCCTAAAGAGCAATGAGTTGAATTATGAAACCTGCTACCCAAAAATTTCCAATAGCAGAAGAGTCATAGAATCATTTAGGTTGGAAAAGACCTTTAAGAAGGGAGATGGCCAGTTTTCTATGCTGTTAAGAAGTAAAAATAAATGTATGTAGCAGATAAATGGAAAGAAGAGGTCACCTTTGCTAAAAGCAACGTAACAGTCAGCGTCATCTAGAATGGGAAAGGAGAACTAAGTTGAATCAAGGAAATTCCATATATTAAATGCATTAATCCATATATTAAAGTTATACAAACATTTTAGTGACAGCCTTTGTTACAGCAAATGAAGTTATAAAAACAGATGTTTCCCCAAACTTGCATGTGTTGGAAAATTTGGTGACCTGTTCACGAAAGACCCTCCAAAACTTTCTAAAAAAACCACAATAAAATTATGCTACTTCCAACCCCTCTAACACAGTGGATGGTTTTGAAGATAGTGGTTAGTAGCCCAAATTATTCCCACTTTATTGTGCAATTTTTTTCACAACAGAAAGGAGCAAAACTGGTCTTTTATGGCACCCCTGCCCTTTTTTTTTTTTTCTTTTATCATCAGTTTGTAAAGGACTAGAACCAGGTGTCATTCACTTGACTTCTAAAGTAACTCTATGTAACGAATGGTTAACTCTTCAATACAGCAACGTAAATTAGTTCTTCTATGAAAAAGTGTGTGAATAATGACAAATCAAAGGTGGCAAACAGGGATCCCAATGAGCGAGAGATTTCAGAGAAGCTACATACCAGTAAGTCTTACTTCAGTATTCAGCAAAACAAAGGCAATAATAATAAAAGCAATTAGCAGATACGTAGACATATATATAACATAATGAGGAATGTGGGTTTTTTTTAGAAAACAAAAATCTCACAAATGTAGTAGAATTCTTAGAAGGTTTCCATGAGCTCTTGCTATAGCGCTTCCCTTACCCACAGGGTGTATGGCATTCTGCAAAGTTTCCAACAGGCCTAAATAAACACTCAAAGAAACTAAATTGTCAAGGATAAAAAAGGAAGGGACTCCTGAGGATTAACAATTGATTAAAAGAGAGGAAACAAAGGATAAAAATAAATGGTCATTTTGCACAATGAGGAAAGTTACCAGTGGAATCCCACAGGAATGAGTGCTGAGATCTGTGCTGCTCATCTTCATGAAAGATCTGGAGAAGGTTGCGAATAATATGATGACAAAACATGCAGAAGATACTTTTCTATTCAGGGGATTAGGTATGAGTTGATCAAAAAATTCAGAAAGGGCTCTATACTGACTGATCTCCAGTTGACGTTTTGTTGCTAAATGTCATTAAATACAAAGTAATGAATTTATAGTATCTGCTTTTTCTTAGTGAAAACTCTTGTGGTTAGATAAATTAGCTCACACCACTCAGGAGCAGTCACTGTAGACATCCTGACGAAACCATAAGCTCAGTGCTCATTAGACTTTTTCATTCTGCTAACAGGATCCTCAGAAGTGTTAGAAGAGGAACTGAGAACAGAAAACGCTGCTTTGTTAACTGTTTAAATAAACTGCACGTTCACATCTTTAATACTGGACACAGGGCTCTTGCCCTCCGTCTCCTCCTGCCACCCTTCACTCTATGCTCTACAGCCAAAGACAAAAAGAAAATATAGCTCTTAAATAAACTAGTCTAGCTCTAGAAGTTCCTGTAATGCAGATAACCAGAAACTAGATGAGTAGAAAGCAGCAGGGAAGAATCACTCTTTTTTTTTTTCTTATGATGTTTGAATCCACAAACACCTTCAAAAAGGGAGGGCCAAACCAGGCTATATTTTTTGCAGTCCATTATAAAGGAATCAGGTCTTTGCTGCTCAAGCTGGTGACTAACAACTTTAGCTAGCTGCACACATGTAGTCTCCCCAGCTTGCACCAAGAACCTAAATAAATTCAGTAAATGCAAAAGCGTAATTGGAATGTAGATTTGACCAACGCTGAAGATGACATGTAAAAAGAAAGACATTACTTGTAAAACAGTCTGAGCTACTAGAAGCAGTTTGTCACAGCTGCTCAAGGACTTATAATAAATTTACATAATGGTGAGGGAGAAGAGTAAGTATGCTCTGTACTCTGGTGCCACTGATGGACTGCTTGTGGTAGCTTGGCCTGCGTCACGTCAATCTTCAATACACCACTCTCTAGCACAGATACATCCGCAAGATCTTTCTCCCCCACCAATGTTGGTTCTTAAGCACCGCGAGCAGGTAGCAGTACATAGACACAGCTGGCTTTGAAAGCGCGCAGCATGGCATTCAAGTTTTCCACGGACCTTCCACATGAAGAACAGTTTGAACGGATATTAGCCCCCTTTCCTGTGTTTAACAAAATTGTTTTTTCCCCTCATGTTGAGAAGGAAGAAGTCCTCCAAAGGTAAGTGAATTAGGCAGATAGCAGTCCAACATCTAAATGCTTATTTCTGATGTAGTCCTCTCAGAAGAAATAATTTATATATAATATCAGTTTTAGCAGTTCAAATACATTTTCTTGAACCAAATCCAGTATTTCCACTGAAAACAAAAACAAGATAAAATCTTCTGCTGCAGCAATCCAGAACTATCTACTTTAAGAAAACTACATCAATGAAGCATTAAACAAAATCAAAAAACGAATGCCATACTTTTCCACATCAGCTCTAGTGGGGCTTACCACCAGGTGATTTGTGGATATTATTGTTAAGACAACTTTATGATACTCAAGTACTGTATCTCATTTCTTTTTCACCCCCAGATTAGGGAAGTCTTACAGCAATCTAGGTAACATCTACCAAAAGAAAATCAGATCAATACAATGTTTATATTCTGTAAGGAACCACAGTATTTATGTACTTCAACCGCTAACCTACCCAAAGAAAACAAGCAAGTTTTTACTGTAAAGAATGCCTACGAACTCAAAGGCTCCATACTGTCTGGATCTTTGAGCTCCAGAACAAGTATGCCATAGGCGGTTTCAAAAAATGAGGCGTTTTGGTTTTCTTTTTCCCCCTCAGGTTCTCCACAAAACAATCGTAGAATACCAGGTTGGAAGGCACCTCAAGGATCACCTGGTTTTTGGTGATCCAACGTTTTTGGCAAAAACATGGTCTAGACAAGATGGCCCAGCACCCTGCCCAGCTGAATCTTAAAAAGTGTCCAATGTTGGGAAACCCACCACTTCCCTGAGGAGATTATTCCAATGGCTGATTGTTCTAAGTGTGAAAAATTTTCCTCTTGTGTCCCATCGGAATCTCCCCAGAAGTGACTTGCATCCATCACCCCTTGTCTTTTCCGTGTGACTCCTTGTAAAAAGGGAGTCTCCGTCTTCTTTGTAGCCACCCTTTAAAAAGAGGAACGTGGTGATAAGGCCTCCCCTGAGCCTTCTCTTCTCAAGGCTGAACAAACCCAGTTTTCTCAGCCTTTCCTCACACATCAGGCTTCCCAGTCCATGGATCATCTTGGTGGCCCTTCACTGGACCGTCTCCAGCCTGGCTGCAGCTTTTTGTACAGTGGGGACCAAAACTGCACACAGTGTTCCAGGTGTGGCCTGACAAGCGCTGAGTGGAGTGGGATAACGACTTCTTTATGTCTGCTGGTGATGCCCTTGGTGATGCAGCCCAGCATCCCATGGGGTTTCTCTGCTGCAGCAGCGCACTGCTCACTCACGTTGACACTCATGAGCCAGAGTAAAATTCCAGGTAAAAAAATATGCATTTTATGCAACAAATGAAGGTCACAGGCAACTGGAAGGAAAGAGTAGAGAAAGGCCAGAGAAGCCAATAGCAATACGATACGACTTCATACATAACTTCAAAGATAACTGTGAAATCACAGGATCGCAAGATTATTCAGATAGTTTCTTTCATGCTTTCTTTTCAGTTTCTAATGTTGTTACTAATAAAGTTCAAAGCTTAGTAAGGCTCATCGTATTTCTGACTATATCTCTAATACTCACTCAAAACACTCAGTTATCAATGCCTCCCGAACGTTCACACTTTGACTTCTCTGCTGAGACCAGTATGAAAAAAACCAACCCCAAAACAAAACCCAAAACACCTGAGCCAGATGTTGTGATTTGTAAAGCTGTCCATGATGAGTGAGACCCTCACCTCAGCTGACATCTTCAAACGAGAGGGCTGAGTTTTACGCCAACACATAGGAAAGGTCTAGGCAATCCCAGAGGACTGAAGCAGCACAAGGCACAAAAGGGCTATATCCTGCAATATTTATTGTTGACGTGTCATTTTGTAAAGAGCAATCAGAGCCAGCTGGATGAAGAGTCTCGGACTGCACCACAAAGCAATAGCGACAGATTATATCCTACATTCACCCACGATACCTCTCTTCTCCATCAGGTCATTCCTCACTCCACATAAATGGAAACTCATCCCACCCATAAGCCAAATAGCTCTTTTCTCCACTGATCAACTTTGAACACCTCTTCTGTGAGAAGACGACACATCATGTTGCTAAAAAGCATTTAGCGTTTTAAACATGGTAATGGTAACAATGGTGAAAACAGAAAGAGAGAGGGGGAAACGACTCCAGAAAGGATGGAGGTTGAAGTCTTGACCAATGGAAAACACTGATCACGCGAGATGCTGACAGGAAGACACAAACCAAGCAAAATTACTCAGCCTTTTAGAAGAAAACAAAAATAGCACTGAAAAAGCTGTAAAAGGACACTGAGTGAGGATAAAGTTAGAGGGAAGGCCTCGTCCTGGGCTCTCAGATGTGCCCAGACTGACCGTGTCACCACACTCTCCTCTCCCAGCGCCTCCGAGAGCCCCCCCTGCAGCCCCCCCGGCTGCTCCCGCCGCCCCGGGGAGCCGCGGACCCTCGCCCGGGCCCTACTCACATATTCCTTCACGTTTTTCGTCTTCACGGCCTTGTAGGAGGAGTACGCGGGGTAGAGGGTGCCGAAGATCAGCCTGCGAGGAGAACGGACCCCTCAGCGCCCAGCGCCGTCCCGCGCCGCCGCCGCCGCGGGGACCTCC